AGGTTTGCTGCTATAGGCTTAGATTGCAGGAGGACATAGGGACCCTTATTTCACCATTCTGTTTCATTCTATCTCTATTCTCCCACTCTGCAGAATATATAAGTTAAATCTGTAACGTTCTGCTCTCTCTGCTTTTTCTCATAGTAACTTTGCCTCGTCTGTTCCTGTTTGGCTGTGACTCCATCCTGGAGAGAAATATCAGCTGTGCTGCTGCCATCAACACCTTTGATTATAGATGTTCAAGATTGGCATGTTTTCCAGTGTAGTCCTGTTTCTCTGACCATGACTGGCTAGATGTGCTCTCTTCATCATCTGACATGGGAGCTGGCTCGGAGCTCTTCTGCCTGGCTGTGTGTTTCCTGGACGGGGCCGCCTTTTGAAGCTGCTTTTTGTATCACTGCTTCTGTCTCCTTGAACCCCAGTCGGCCTTGGCAGATGGCTGCTCACACTGAGCCTGATTCTGCTGGAGGTTTCTTCCTGTTAAATGTTGGGTTTTTGCTCTCCACTGTCGCTACAAGCATGCTTAGTGTGCGGGATTGCATTCGAGTCAATGAGTCAATGCAATCAACTGGTTTTCCTTAGATAGAAAACTTTGAATCAATTTAGATGTATGATCCGGTGAACTGTAAAGTGCCTTGAGATGACATGTGTTGTGAATTGGAGCTATAGAAATAAACTGAATTTAATTGAATTTATTTAAATCTTAGCCCTGTCCTGGCCACAACTAAAATGATGAGCAAATTATTGTTGCTGTCACAGGTTTGAAGGCTACCCTTTGAAGTTCCAGCACCTATTGAATTAGGTCGGGGCCTCTTCGGAATAGTCTAATTTTTTATTCTGTATTCTGTGTAGCTGTGTTTTGAGTCATTATCTCTTTACAGACCAAAGACCTGCAACTGAGACCAAGCTTTCTGACACAGAGCAGCAGATTTCTCTCTAGAATCCCTTCATAGTCTTGAGATTTCACTGTACCCTGCATAGACTGAAGACACCCAGTAGCAGAAGAAGCAAAGGAGCCTCAGAGCATGACACAGCCTCCTCCATGTTTAGTAGTAGGGACACTGTTCTTGTCCTGATATTTCAGTTTTCCACCTGTGAAACCAGGGCTGATCTGCCTTGGCAAAAAGTTTTATGTGCGTTTCATCTGGACCTTCTCCCAGCTGCTTTGTAGCTTCTCAATGTGTACAGTAGCAAATTCCAGCCTGGTTTTTGTATTTTTTTTTTTCATCATCGTATCCTCCTTGGTCGTCTCCTATCAAGTCCACTTTGTTTCAAACAACAATAGAGTTGCCAGAGCCATTTTTTTTTTTGTTTATTTTTTTTTCTCCAGGCTCTTTAGTTAATGTTCATATTATCTCTCTTTGATTTGTCACCCATTTTCCTCCTGTGGGTATGTCTTGGTAGGTTTGCTGGGGTCCCATGGATCTTAAATTTCTGAATAACGTGGAACTTGGAGTTGGCTTTATGGCCTTTACCTTTAACACACTTGTCAATAATTTTCTTTTTAATAGCCTGAGATTCAAGTCCATGTTGAGTTTGGTAGCCCTCTGTATATATACTGTAGGCTCATTGAATGATTACAAAATTGTGGAAAGCTGTGATTCTAATGGTTGAAAATAAATGTCTGACTTTCATTTTTTCATTTTTAAAGAATCTTTCATTTTTATTACTTTTGTCAGGTTTAAGGTATTCATGTGAGATTTTTTTTTCATAAAACCAGGGATACTAACATCTTTATTGGGGATGTTCTTTGACACTGAAATAAAGGGGCTATCTGTGTGCGGAAATATGAAATGAGCCGAATGAATGAATCTTCCCTATTGGAATTCACCTGAGAAAGCAGCATAGATATTTTCCATTGACTGCTCTCAGGAATGATAAGAGAGAAATTTCTTCTGTCGTTGTGTTTGTTAACAAATCTCAGGGCATGAGGATTTTAAGGTATCCATATATTTCAGCAATAAATAGATTGAATTCATACGGCACATTCCCAGTCATAGTGACCCCTCAGAGAACTTTACAGTAGAGCCAAACTCACTCTGTTGCAGAACATTAAGCAAGGATCCAAACTGTCATTTTATACAGTAGGAATCATATTTAGTATGTAGGTAATAAATATACTTAATTGATATTTTTTAATATTGTCCAATAATAGATGGGAAACAAGATAATGAAGGATGCGCTACATCTTTGTCAAACGCAGGCCGACATTATCTGAGCAAACAATAAGTTCTGACCAGCAGCAGAACTTGCAGTCCTAACATTATAATCTTTACCGGGGAATTTGTCTCTTTTACAGGCTCTGTCCAGGGCAGAGCATGGAAGTCACCAGATATATAGCGGCATGAAAGGAGGCATCGTTTGTCTTATTTCTCATAGTATTTATCTCTTTTCCTCCTCTTTCTGAGCACCAAATCATTTTCTTTGAATTGTCCACTTTCACGCTGTCAGCCGTTCAGCTACTGCAATAAAAAGGGTCTCGGGGTTTGAGCTTCTCCCTGTCAAATCCTAATCTTTTGTCTGTTCATGTCAAGAATTTATTTGCATTCTGCTGTCTAGATTTACACTGGATCTAATAATAATCATCCATCCATGAATTGTACCAACTTCGGGGTAATGAGGCAGCTGGTGTCAATCAGCAGTTGTCACTCGGAGAGAAGCAGATTATCCCTTGGACAGGTTGCAAATTTATCATTGAGCAACACAGTGACACAGGATGAAAAAAACAACATGCATCGACATTAAACCTAACATTTATGTTTTCTTTGGGGTAGGAAGGAGTACCCAGAGGTAATCCACGCTTGCACAGGGAGAACCTGCAGATTCTGTACAGCAAAACCCTAAGATGCGATTCAAACCTTTGATTTTCTTAAGGACACTGCAAAGATCTATGAATCATGCGTTTGAATATTAAAGATTTTATAAGCAAATCCCATAATTTAGTGCTACAAAATTTTAAACATACATTTTGAAAATATAAAACTTTTACAAATGAGATCAATTCAAATTAGATATAATTGTTCAACCACAAATTAGCCCCGGACCGCTTACCTTCTTTTTCACATCTGAGCTGTCATGTAACTAACTATAACAAATGAGTTTAATGTAGCTTTTCTAGTATCTGTACTTCATATAAATAGTTATTTTTCCGAGGCTTTTTTACGTTTACTCACAAAATTTAAACAAAAGTATCTGTGCTCTCTATTTCTTGCTTTCCCAAGCCGTTTTCTATATTGCTTCTGTATCCCTTCATGTTGAATGAACAAATTTCTATAATGATCATGATAATTGCAAAAAATTATAACACAAACTTCTTAATTAGAAAGCAAAACATCAGTTTTTTGGCTGAAAAAAATGTAATATATTCCAAATACAATCTGACCGAAACTGATAAAATAAATTACTTAAACTGAGATTACCATTAAAGTACCACAGTCTCAGATCTCCCCACATGTTTACATTGTATCCATTCATTTAAAATTCACAATCAAATGAGGTTTTTTTAAATATAGTATGGATCGATCTGTGCATGTTTTGGGGCATATTTAAATATAAACAGGTACAATGGATGGTCATATTTTTGGCTCTAAAATATTTGTGTTTTTTTTGGCCAGAAGTGTCCTCCGTAACTTAAAACCTGCTGGACATATTGCTGCAGAAATTGAAAGACTCATGCCCTGTGAAAGTTAACTCAATCGTAAACCCATAAAATTGTGAAACAGATGTGAAACAGGCTTGGCAACAATAAAAACCCTTCAAACATAAAGGAATATGTTACTTTACATTTCTTTCTGCTCTGCAGGAGGGGAAGGCAGTCAAGAACACCTGCTTCTTCATGGCGCTCGCTCTGCGCTGGGGCTGAGGGGCTTTTATTTACAAGGTTCACGCTTGGTTTCTCTGCAGCTCTGTGGTTACATTCTTATAGTTTCATGAATATCTCAGGTGTGACATATTCATGAAACTAGTCATCAGTGGAGCAGTAACAAGGGGGATGAGATGTTGGCATAGGCTTCTATGAAACAAAACCTGATGGATATAGAGATGCTGTCAGAAAGCTGCATATTAACCAAAGTCCTTCTGATTTGGTTATCTATTTTCTAACACAAAGGTTTACCATACATCATTATGGATTTGAATATGTCGTATGAATCTAAAATCTGTCTCTTTCTATTGTTCTCTCCATCTTTGGATCATAAATAAAACTAATTTTTACTTCCTCTTGCTTGTTTTCTTCATTTGATTAGCTTAAATTTTATTATCTGTCA